TCTTCGGGCTCTTGTACACCTTTTTCTTGCTACGTGTGCGTGTTCTTTAGATCCTCAGATGGCTCTAGCACTTTCGTGACCACGGGCCGAGAGTCTTTGCTAGATTTTGGCATTTAGCAACTGGCATACGGTTTAATGTGAAGTCAACAACAACAACAACATTGTGGTCCACCCTGCCGCCCGCCCGTATCCATCCTCTATCAATCGTATCATACAGGTACAACGCTGATGCCGAGTCCAACACGGTGGAGGTTCCGGAGGACGAGATGGCCGCGATCACTCAAACCGCCCGACTGGATCTGCTGTGGCCGGCCGTGTACATTACCTCGTACGAGACGAAGGGGGCTTACGTTGGAGTGGAGCTCTCAACGACGGGTCGGACATACCGTTATTTTCCGGGAACGGACCTCAGCGGGGTGAAGGGCTCTCGCTTCGCATGCGAGTACGTGGAGGTAGACGGTTCGATCGCTCCGTGCTTCGACCCGACCGTTCCCCCCTGGTACGCGGTATGGAGGCTGGTGCAATGGGGATCGAGGGCAACTACTCCAAACCTAGCTGCTGGCAGGGAGGGGGGCTTCATTTCCTGGTACATGTTATCGTATTGCTGTTGTTATGGATGTTTTTGTGGGTGCTCCCTCGCCTTGCCTGTCTCAGGGGAAGGGGTTGATCGGTCCTTCGCCCCGCAAAATCCCCCTGGCATTTGACACATGATAAATGTTTTTAAGTAAAATGGTAGCTGAAGTGTTCATCATGGCAACATGCGTAAAGGGTTGCCTCTGGGGGAATGCTTCGCCATATCTGGACAGGGAACGGTGGTAAATGTCCCCAATGTATGCCCCCCATCCACACAAGAATTCCTCCAGCGCCCAGAGCGTGTGTCGTGCAGTCGTGTGATGTGAGGTTTGCGGTGCACGCCATTCCTAACAAGGTCTGATAGTGTGAAGTATTATCATTGTGCTACTGGCGGAAAGAACACGCACGCTGAGCTCGAGTGCTTCATTCTGCAGGAAGTATCTGTGGTCATTTAGGCTGCATGTTGGCATAGGCGGCTCCTGGCCTGCCATGGTATATTCACCCTCGCTCCGCACCTCAAGCGCTCCCGGAGTTCTGCATTTTTTATCGTTTCCTACCCAAAGGCGGTACACCCGATGTTCTCCTCGCCTGTGAACACACGGGGTGGGGGGGCTCTCTCGAAGCTCCAATTCCGGCACAAACAACAACTCTCCCTGCTCCCTTCAGGTACGAAACAGCTGAGGACCCAGATTATGACTCGGAGACTTTTCTCGCACCAGCCATCATCACCGATCCCTTCAAAGGCTCAATCGACGACGATTGGTTGGTGGCACTGGCCCGTGCAGTCTACAGGTGAACAAGTGACTGTTTTTCATAGGATTGCTTTGCACACGCCATGAGCGAGGATGTTGAAAACCCAGTGCACACCCTCAAGGTACAACCCCCCGGCAGCCTCACGCTTTGGTGGTGGTTGTTTATTTTTGCTCAGGGAAGAACCTGTTGGCAGCATCATTCGAGCAACGAAATTTTCGAGGCGGACTTCAGCGATCTTTCAAACTTTGTGTTGAACGTGTTTTATCTTTTTTTCTCGGGCAACGCTTTCGATTCTGCGCACCTGGATACCGCGCTGGGAAGCAACTCGGGAACGACTAGCGGCAGCCTCCTTGGAGTGGTCGGCATGGACGTGCGGCTGGGGCAATTGCAGGAGTCGGTGGAGGCCATCAACTTCCTCGATACTGGCTACTCTATCCTGGCGACGGCTGATGAAGGAGTAGTGCTGGCCGCCGCAGAGTGGGACGAGGACGCTTCGCAGGAAGCCCTAACGGTGCGCAATGGTGGTGCTAGTCCGTTTAGGCCTATCTAATAGGAACACAACATCAAGCGTGGCTGTGGTCACGTGTCCGTATGGTTGTGGTCGCAGTAGTTATAGTGGAATCCAGTGATAGGGCGTAGTTGCGCTCGTAATCAAATCAGGGGGGGTGGTCGGGCCCTTCTGCATCCCCGATCTGTCTTGGTCATTCTCACAAGCATGTTTTCCCTTTCACGTTTCGCAAGGTCTGCGACCTTCGTATCGGCATTAGCTCCGGTCGTGACGGTGACGGGTGGACGGACCTGAAAGCTGACACCGAGAACGGCGAGGTCAAAAGCTTCACTTCAAGTCCACCAACGGCGTCGACGGTGAGAAGTCGAGCCGGGGTGCGCGGGGGCGGGGGCAAGGGGGGACGATGGGGGGCGAGCGGCTCGTCTGCTGACGATCGTACACGCTTTGTTGATTTCTCTTGATGCCTAGTGCACATCTCCCTCGTCTCGCCTCCTCTATCTCTTCCGTTCTACTATACTGCAGCCGGTGTTTGCCTGCATTATACATCCTTACATAGCAGAAGAGCTTATGACGCGTATATCTTGATTTTGGTATGCTTTCAGCTTTTATTTTGTATATTTTTGTTTTTGGTGTTGCCCGTTCTAATCCAATACAAGATTTCGGCGCGTCAAAATCCACAAGTGTTGGGAACATTGGCACAACAGCATTATAGTGTACCTTTTACCACGCTTGTTCAATAGATGATAGTGGTCTACGAAATCAACTTGCCTGCAGACATCACATCCTGCCAAAGTATCACATCCGTACAACATACGTCGTGCATCTGCACATACTGCGAATGCATGTTACCTACAGCACAAACCGTCATTCGCACGTATGCATACGTGTCTGTATTGTATACCTACGGCACAAACCGTCCTTCGCACGTATGGATACGTGTCTGTATACCACGCCAGCGGTATGTCTGTTCGTATATGTCCTTTACTTGGAAGGGGAAGACGTTTTATCTCTTGTATTAGACACGCAAGGGGAGTAGGGAAAAGTGAAGCCCTCATTGGAGTTCGAGGGGTCCCCGCACATGCAACCATTTCAAGGTGTACATATGCCCCATCTGCGTGCCCTCTGTTGTCGCCGGTAGATCGAACCAGTCCGTATCCAAACACACGAACACCCTCCCCGGTTTGCACGCGAATGGCAAACCTAACGTGGGGCATGGATGCCCCTGATCTACCAAAGGGACTCAAAACAACAACAGGCTCGAGGGAAAACCCGGCGAACCGGATCAAAAACCCTCGTCTAACACCCCAAATATAGAAAACCGTCGCTATCACGGAGGATTCCAACGGCCGCACTTCCAAGATAAGACCAAGGCAGGACAGATTGAACCGATCACGCTGATTACACACCCGAAGCAACGCTCTCGGCGTTTCTAGGCTCCAGCCGCGGGTGGCGCGCCGGCACAACGCTTCCTGCGTGACGTACCATGGTCATATATGCCAAGTGCTAAAACCACCACATAAACCAAACAGAACAAGAGAACACTACATCGGTAGCTTCATTAGAGCCTTCCGGTGGTACTCTAATTTCTCTCTGCCAAGGACCTTGGTCAGCATGCCGGCGTGCTGCTCTCCAGTCGGAACATACTCTGCAGATCTTGCCCGACTTGAATAGCTCGCGAACGAAATGGAACGGCACGTCGATGTGCTTGCTCCTCGCTGAGCTGAACGGGTTCTCGATTAAGGCGAGAACCCCCTTGTTGTCCTCAAGGACTTGGTCTTCGCCCCACTACTCTCGGGCGCTATGAACGACAGAACGCCACGCACAAACAACGCCTCTCCACGCCCTCCCCGGCTGCCATATACTCTGCTTCCGAGGTCGACTGAGCCGTCACTGGCTGCGTCTTGGTGGATGCACACACTACGGTACCACCTACGGTCACAGCTACCCCGGTCGTAGAACGCCTGTCTACTTCGTTGTCAGCGTAGCTGGCATCGACAAACACGCTTAGGTCTAATCCTGACCCCCGTAAATAGGTGATGCCGAAGTCCTTCGTGAAGTTCAGGTAGGACATGATCCGCACAAGCGCGTTCCATATCCTCCCAGCGGGTGAGTGCACGATCTTCTGGAGCTCGTTCAGAGGCAGGGCGATGGCTTGCCTCGTCAGCTTCGTCCACATCAGGCATCCGATCGCCTCTCTCACAGGCTTATCCACCGCGGGCTCGTCATCTCTCTTCGGCCCTAGGTCGGCATCGGTGGCAGCAGGGGTGAAAGCGGTCGTGGTCACATCAAACCGCTTCAGCATATTCTCAATGTATGCTGTCTGGGACAGCTTGGTGATGCCATTTTCTACATCCATGGCGATAGCACACCCGTCG